ATAGTAGTAAAAAATTTCCTAACTAGATAACATTTCCTGCTTTATATGGGTTATCAATTATATCAATTTGTCCCTATCTTATGCTACCTATTTGGTAAAACTAAAAACACACAAATGTATGGTATTCGGGCATCAATCCTACTAAAAGAAAATGAGTTTGTTGGTTCATGGATTATGTAGATGGTAATATGAACCATTCATCGTTTGTTCCTATAGTAAGTAGTAGGCAAGCTTGGCCATTAACAATTCCCTTAGCAACCTTATATACCACACTCATTAACTGCATCATTGAGTCATAGATAGCAAAACCTTCTTCTTCTAACCTAAATATCTTCAAACCTTGACCATTCTAAATTTCTAGAGTCTAAACCCAACATCCTCAAACTAAATAAGTCAAACACCATAGTCTTCAAATCCTTGGAAGGGCTCTAAACCCATGAAACATATTCTTTTATTGGAGAATCATCTATATTCATAATAGTTGTTCATGGGATTTTTATATGATTTTTGAATTTATTCCTTTTAAAATAATATTTATACACGAGATTTTTATTGGAGAATTAGTTTTTGTTCAAATTTTATCTCCTCAAACCAACTTGGCATTTTGACAACTTAGGTTAAGATAAATACTCCAAGATAATTTTTATATGGCTACCGGATTTTATTCCTTTTAAAGAATAAGAATCTAAAATCTCTTTCTTAAGTGAATGAAGGATACAAAAATTTCATCTTTAGGCCAAAATCCTTCAAGTAGATGGAAACCCTAGCTTTGATTGATTTTAACGAAGTTGTTTGAAATCCCATTATAATCTAAAGTAAGTGATCTAACATAAGATGATTATTTCAAGATTAATAATTCTATTATACCTTCGGTTAGATTGACTGATTAGTAGCACCATATTGAATGATCAAGTTAAGGATAAAAAACAAAACCCTAAACAAAGCACAATGATTCAAATATGAAAGAAACTTCTCAAAAATTTATTAATCAATACTCAAGTGTTCAAATGTTGTTTCTCTACAAGGCATGTGACTCTTTTTATACTAGTTAGGGTCGCCAGGTATAAAGAAAAATTATTCATGTAAAATTCAGCCACAACTAGGTAAGATTAAACTCGGAAAAACACTTATCCAACATGGATCGCAAAACTCTAGTCTCACCATTCTTATATGATAACTTCTAACGTAAATCAAATATAGTATACTAAAAGTACTTAAGCATTATTATTACAATCAAATCCAAATTTAGGTTAACCGACCTAAAGGAATTAAAATAACCCAACATATAATCTAAAAACCAAAAGGTAATTTAAGAGGATTAAGGTAAGCCTTACAAAATAAGGTAACCTAAATTTGACCCTTCTTATAAAACAAACCCTAGGCTTGTTGATTATAAAATTTTGATCTAGTTGAGTATCTCTTGCCACACTATGTTGTCATACTTTAGGTTGATGAAAAATTGACTTTGAGTTTTGATCTATCTTTTTATTAATCTTTTGAATCTCCAACTTAAACTTTCTATCCCTTTTCCTTTAGCTTCATCATGCATTCCACATAATACAACCCAACTTCCTCTAAGTCCATGTTAATTGTACTTGAACTAGCTTTATTTTGAACTTGAAAAATAGTTGGATGATATGACTTCTTCTAACATGTCTAGGGACTATTTTGAAGACTCCATGCCCATTGATAACTTCAAATAGTTTTGAATTTTCCTCATATTTACATTAAGTAAAATATTCATTGTTAATTTTTGTTTGTTTGCATTGATAATTTGTGTTCGTTTGCATTTTGAATGGACTTCATCTTTTATGTTTTGAAATGAGTTAATGTACTTTAGACTAGAAATACACATATTAATATTGTAATGCCTTTTGTTTCAACTAATTCAATTGCATGTCTTGTTGAAGCAACATCTTTATCAATCTCACTTTTGGTACCAAGAAATTCATGATCATCAACTTATCGTGAATTGGAGGTTGGTCCAAACTCATAAAGAATTTTGAATTTTCATATGCATCATCCTCGGAGAGATCTTTATCAAATTTTGGAGGTTGATTCTAATCCATAAAAGAATTAGAATTGTCAAAAAATTCAACTTCAAATTCATATTTTTACTATTGGATTTTTTCTTATCTAATCTCCTCTTCATGCTTGGATTGTTAACCTTGGATTGTTAACCTTATGCTTTCTTGTTCCTCCTCCCATATTCATTAAGTTTTCATTACAAACAAAGGAATGTTGCAGCATATTGCTTGAACTCTTATTATTGGACTTAAGTGAGTACATGTGCCATCCTCTTTCATTCCATACGGACCATAATGCTTATAAAAATTTTTCCAAGAAAACTCTTTAGGTACAACTATATCATGTTGTCATCCCTTCTCATCCTTTCCTCTACTTTACAATCTTCCCTTCTTCGATCAACTTAATGGTATATCCTCTCTCTCATAATATTTTTTATTTCAAATTTTATAGAACTCTTACTACTTTCTTAATACTCATCTCTTTTATTAATGAGCCTATATCATTTTATTCGACAAGTAAAGCATGATCCTTGAAAAAATTGCTCTACTTTAAAAGTCAATCATACTTAGACACTTACACATTTACCACCTAAGAAACTTTCTATTGATTATAAATGGGTATATAAAGTCAAATTCATTCCAAATGACGCTATTGAAAGATACAAATAGCAAATTGTGGCTAAGGGATACATTCAAATTGAGGGTGTTGATTTTCTAGAGATGTTTGCTCGATTAGCCAAATTGGTCACCGCTAGATGTCTCCTTGTTATTGCTTCGGTATGTAATTGGGAACTTCAACAGTTAGATGTCAATAATTTCTTTTTACATGGCGATCATAAAGAGAAAGTCTATGTAAAAATTACTCAATATCGCCAAACAAGGGGAACATCGTGTTTGTCATTTTAGAAGTCTCTCTATGGACTCTAATAAGCTTCTCACAATTGGTATAAATAATTCACTCGGTCTCTACTTATAGTTAGTTTTATTCAATCTTTCTCTTGTAATTCTTTATTCACATTTACTTAATGAGAATTTTTTATTTTTATACTCATTTATGCTTGATAAGGTGATTGCCATGAGGAAAAATTCAATTAAAATTTCTTGGATAAAACAATATTTGAACACTAAGTTCCACATTAAAGATTTTGGTAAACTCAAATATTTTTCTCGATATTGAAGTGGCACGTTGCTTTGCTAGTATAACGTTAAGACAAGCACAAATATGTACTTGACAATCTTAGTAGAGTGTGGTCTCATAGATTGTAGGCCATCTTCTTCACTCATGAATCAACATCGTAAGCTTGATCTTGATTTTGGACAACTTTGTGATGACACCATACAATATAAGTGTCTAGTTGGTCGCCTACTTTATTTCATGATCGCACATTTAGATATTAGCTATGTAGTGCACATCCTAAGTTAGTTTATGCACAAGCCAAGACAATCACATTTTGATGCTTGAATTGTGAACTCTTTGATAACTTAAAAATGTGTCTAGACAAGGGATTTTTCTCACTCTAATAGTTCATTTTTATTGTGTGCCTATTGTAATGCGGATTAAGTTGGCGGTACCATGACTTAGAGATCCACAACTAGCTATATAGTGTTTCTAGAGTCCTCATCAATTTCATAACGATCAAAGAAATAGTTTGTAATTTCTTATTCCATAGTCGAGGCAAAGTACAAGGTAATGGACGCTGCTACAAGTAAAGTATTTTGGCTTTTTCGATTGCTCTTAGATTTGGGAGTATCTCACCTAGATTTAGTTTCTTTGTTTTGTGACAATCATATCACCCAACATATTACGGCTAATTTTGTTTTTATGAGCATATCAAACGTATCAAAATAAAATATAATTTTATTTAATAATATATTCAGTCCAAACTCTTCCTTTAACCGGTAAAAATCTTCACCATGGCTTTTAGTCGAGATCGATTTCAAGCCTTATTGAGAAAGTTGGGCATTCCCAACCTCCATACTCCAACTTGAAAGGAATTATATGAGGATCTTCTATTTCATTAATTGTAGGGGTGATTGTAGGACTATAGAAAGAATAACTTGCTATTGCAACATAAATTACATTACAAGAAATTATTTTAGATAATAAAAAACTATTTAAGTAATAAAACAACCAATCTGACGTTGCATCAAACAATTGTTGTGCAGACTTAAAATTTGCTTCTTTAAAAAAATAAAAATCATTAATATTACTTCAAACTTTTCATAACAAGTTTAAATAGAAGGAAAATAGCTAAAATATATCTAAATAATCAAACAACAAGGTAACTAACCAATTTTATTTATTTAATTTTTTTTTGGTGGTAGGTACAATCATGGAGGAGTGGCGTTGGGCACTAGTTTTTGTGATGGTTGGTTCGATGTAGTGAAGGTGGTTCGGTGGTGGAGCGGTGGCCATTTTTGCTTCCTGATTCTTGGTGCAATGCTCTACTTTCTCTCTCTCTCTCTTTTAATGATAATGGATAGCTAATGGGTGTAAACAATGTAAGAAGAGAACACAATATTTTAAACTAATTGCCTATTAATATAAATAAGTGATCTCATTTTATCTATATTTGATTCATTATCTATTAACATATTTTAATAAGTAATTAATGGATTGAGTTGATAGGGTATTCATTTTGCATCCGTCCACTGTCATCCCTATGTGAAAGTGATTAGAATTTTTCATTAACGGCGGGTATAGTTATAGAAGTGATTACATGCATATATAAATTCTACTTTAACTCTGACAGTGATTGTGGAAGTGATTATGTGCTGCGTAAGATCACTTGTTATTTAATAATACAAATATTACAAAATACAATTCATAATTTTCAAATGGTAATACATTATATTTTCACCAACACACTCATTACATAACTTGCCTTTTGGAGGCTCTAAAATCTAAGAAAGATCTATCTCGATCTATCTTTTTGGACCTGCACTTTCGATTTTGATGTCCAAAGTAGCTGGCTAGGATCTTTGAAATCTTATTATGTCTTTACAACAATGATGATAGCTAGCTACTCCACTTGATGTATCCTTTACTGTGATTTCATAATGATATTGGAAAACATCGAGCCGTAGCTGTCAGTGTTGTTCTTTGTATAAGGCAACGAAGATGTCAAAGCTTGATTCAGTTGCATGAGGAAAAGATCAATAATTTCTAATTTAATTTCAGATTTTCTATCTCTTTATTTCCGTCACACTGACGGGTAAAGTTGTAAAATTTTAACTGGAATGAAACAAAAATATTTTCAGCCAAGCGACAGACTAGGCTATGTAAGAAGGGATCCTATTTATATATGTATAAAACTAAAAGTGTTACATATTTTTCTAACCTGGATTTCCTTTCGATCTAATACTTAGCATCACTTAATATCTTACTTTTTATCCTTCTTTTATTGTAATTACTCGTATTTTTATTAATTATTACCTAGTATCTCTCTTTCCTCGTAATATTTTCATTCCTTATTTTCTTGATCACCTTTCTCTAAATTATTTCCAATCCGTAATTATTTTCTACCCTCTCTTAAAAAAAAAAAAAATCTTTTCAATAATATGTTGGTATGTTTGTTTATTTCTTCTAGTTTTTTTTTCCTTCTTATTATTATTATTATTTGCTAAATTGGGCCAAAATCCATAATAATAATAAAAAAACAGTATTCCTTATAATTTCAGGAACTTTATTTAGGCTTAGTTCTTTTCCCCTCAAGATGTTAAATCAGAGGAAAAAAAAAGTGAGCCAATATGATATTAGAAATTCGGATGGAGAGGGATTGAAGATAGCCAGTTAAAATAAATAAATAAAATGAACACTTTGAAGAAAACGAGGATTGAAAAATATTTTAAGCAAAGTGATAAAGAAAATACAGAAAGTAAAATATTACGAGAAGCAATAAATAGTAGATAATAATTAAGAAGGAATAAAATGAAAAGAATAAAAAGATAATCCACTATTGAGAAAATACGTATAACCATTTAGTAACTATTTATCTTCCCCGCTTCCTCTCTTTATGTATGGTATTTATATACATCTTACGTAGAAAAGCATTTTTTACCAAAAAAAAATTAAATACGAATCACGAAGCACTAGGGAAAAAGAAAGAAAGAAGAAGAAGAAGAAGAAAGTCAAATGTTGTTAACTTATATTGATGCTTGCTTTTACAAGATAATCACTTTCGCATCAAATTCATTACCATTTCATTAAGAAATATGTATATCCGGTGTTGTTCCATTGATTGAGCAAATGATCATTTAAAAAGGGGTAAATTTTAATTTGCTTAATTGAGGTTTATGTGTCTTTATAATTTTATTTACAATGTTTGATTTTTTTTTTCAATTTTACCCAAAATTTCTTTATTTGTTTCAACTAGATTTCCTATTTTTTGAATTTTGTTCCACACTATAAGTTTCAATTTTATGTCCAAAGTTTATCAAATATCTCAATATAACCCAAAATAAATATATATATATATATATATATATATTTTCAACAAAACAAATATTATAACTTTTTTTCCATCAACATTATTGAACAGTTCGTTAACGACAAAAATTAAATTAAATTAAAATTAAATATGATAAATAATAGTTTTTTAATAAAAATTATTAACCACCACTATTGATATCCCTCATACACCCTCTCGTTATCACACGGCATCTACACTTTTTATCCAATTTTTAATTGGAATCGTGAACAAAAATTCTATATAAAAGAAATATATTCCATATCAAGGGAATAGTATTTTTAATATTGGAAAATTTTTACATTACCTGCAGTGTAATTATTCACATATATCAAAAGTGTTAATTAAAAAAAGACAGAAGAACTAGAAGAACCAAAAAAGAAAAAGAAAAAGAACATAATAGATCAGAAATACCAGAATGATGAAGGTTTTGATGAAAAAACAATTAAAAGAGAGAGTTAAATTCATTGAAATTATAATTTTTATTTAGCTATATTATTGATAAAGATAAAAATAATATTTCTAAGTGAGAATTGAAATTGATAGGATTTGAGGTTTTTTTGAAAAATTAATCATCAAATTCAATTATATTTGTTTCATGAAAAATATATCATTTTTATGGATTTTTTATTTTTTTATTTCAATTACTTTATATTTTTTATAATTTTTGTATGATATTGAGATATTTTATAAACTTTAATTATAAAATTGAAATTTAAAAATTGATGGAAATGGATAGAGATTTAAAACAGAAGTGAGAAATGTGTGGGCTGATTGAAAAAAAGAAATAAAATATGCGAAGGCTAATTAGAACAAAAACGAAAGATATAGAGTTTAATGAAATAAATAAAAAAATTAAATAAAATTAAAACAACCAATAAATCTCGGGAGGATAAATTGAATTTATCTTTTTTTTTTAAAAAAAAAAAACCTATGTAGTTAATGCTAACTAGTAACCAACACATTATTTAAAATAAAAATAAAAATAAAACGGGACTAGTTTTATCATATAAGTGAATAAGTGAAAATTTGTCTTTTGGGACGCATGATTTCATCTTGACTAGTTGTTTGTTACGGATCTGACATTTCATGGACCATTCTTTCAAAGTTTGTTCCTTAGAAAGGTCAGTCTTATTATATTAGTGCCACTGACCATTATCTCAACTCTTGTAGTAATGACCCCATAGAGGTTTGTCATACTTGTGTGATAACTCATTTCGTAGTTTGACATGCTTGAGTCTTTCAACATCTAAGTCTCTTGAATTAAATTGGATGACTTATAAAGTGAAATAACATTGGATTTTTTGCAAGTCCCATAATTTAGTAGGGGAGAGGAGGGACTAATTTCCAAGGCCTCGGAATAATATACTGGTGAATATGATAAAGAGGTCAAAACAATCATAAAAATGAGAAAGTAAAAATAAAATAAAATAAAAACACTAATGAATTATAGTTGGCGTGAAAATCATCTGGTGTTTCAATACTATTCAGTTTTGAGCATTTTAATTTTTCTACAAAGTTATTGCACAAATTAAATTTTTCTCTACTTAAATTTGAGACACAATAGCCCTTCCATCGAACTCCGTTCAGCCATTCCTTTCGATTGCTCAAATTATATAAATTAACTATTAGATATCCAATCATATGATAACATGTGTTCAATATAAAAGTATAAAGATAAATTTTTGGTGAAAAATCTATTTAAAAAAAATTCAAAAATAATTTAAAATGAGTAATTGTTATTCAAAAATGAAAAAAAAAAAAAGTTTAATACAAAGAACTAAACAAAATGAAGGATCATGATTACAAATGAGTAAACAAACCCAATTATTGTCTCTTACATCAATCCAAAGTTAGCATAGTGCATCTCAAATTCACATAAATCCTAGCACTAGCAATGAGGGCTACAAAAACAAATCAGCCTTTAGTTTTGTTACATCCAGATTTAAGTTGGACTAGACAGTACACCAAATTAAAGGAAAAATGATGAGACTCATGTCAAATAGATGTTCAATATCTAATTTAGTTTCAAACCTTTAACAAAAGATCCAAATACCCAACTCAAATCCAATTGATTGGAAACTAAGTACACTGTCTAAAAAGATCCGAAAAGAAAATAAAGAATACAAGGATTTTTAAAGAGATTATGGAACATGAACTCTTGACAAGATTGAATTGTTATTGAAAACACTTGAAGAGTAACAATATTGTCGTCAACCAACTTTTGATCCCATTTATTTTAATGAATTTTTTTCAAAAAAATCACAAAAATATCAAAATTAAATATTCTCTTGATTTAACTGATTTTTTAAAACTTTATCCCTTTTAAAGATTTGTAGGAGTCCTTTGATTTTTGTGAGTTTAGAGAAATTAACAAAAAAAAAAAAAAAAGAAAGAAAGAAAAAAAAGAATAAAAATCAAGGACTTTAAGCGAGAATGAATTGGGACGAAATTGAGAGAAATTAAAAGTAATGAGACTAAAGAACCTTAATTAGAGGGTGTGATTGGAAAGAAAATAAAGAAGGATGGACCAAATTTGTAAAACACAAATAGGGGACAATTCGGATTTTTAACCTTAACCCTAAATACCCCACTTATAAGAGCCACAATTCTTTTCTCTCTAAGGGCGGCTATCATTTTTTCCTTCACCCAAAACACTATTTCTAGCCACTCTTTGCTATTGTCATTGATGTTGCGACCATCGTCTCCGTCAATTACACCGCTCGCTAGCTACATTTAGAAAACTACAACATCCGTCATCCACCAACTTCTAATAGTCTTAGCCACCCAAATCCACCACTCACACATAGCTCTAGCCCTTCTCTACCATTCATCTTGCCCTAACCACCCCTTTACCCAAAACCACAACCACAACTTAGCCACTGCAATTCCCCTTACCACCTAACAACCATTTCCACCCCTACAAAATCACCACAAACCCGATATCTGCCATCACAAATCCATCATACCAAGCACCACAACACCCAACCAAAACCACTTTCCATACTTCAACAACCACAATTTAAACTCGAACTACCACTTGAAACCTTAGGTCTCGAAATTAGTATTGACTAGATGATGATGATTTTAGGAAATGCTTTGGTTAATTTAGAAAAAAATTATCTTTAAACCTCATTGTTCAAAAATTAGGCTCATTAAGGTTTAAAGCTTATTTATAACTAATTTAAACCTTTCATCGGATTAGATAGAGCAAGTGAAGGAAGAAAAAGAAGAAATAATTTAGCTTAGAAGTGTTAATTCTCCCTTTCTAGATGACAACATCATTTGTCATCTTCATCGGATTAGATAGAGCAAGGGTTAAAGAAGATTGGACTAGCTTTTTCATGCATTTGGAGCTTTGGAAAGTGATTGAAACCGATCCAACCAAGTCCGAGGAACCTATTTTTGCTAAGGGTAGTTTGGTCATTTGACATGCTAAGGGCAGTTTAATCATTTAATACAAAAAGGTAGTTGTTGTTTTAACCAATCAAGTAATTTTTTGATATTTTTGCATTATTTTTATGATTTATTTGAACCAAAATATGGATGAGTAAATGTTGGAAATAATTTGTGATATTTGTGAATTGATGGATATTTGAAGCGTGATTGAGATAGATCATTGCGTATCAAATGCGAAAGGGTCTAAGACCCCAAGTATCTTAAAGAGTAATAAGGTCAATGTCAATTCTCTACGATAAGACCCCAAGTATCTTAAAGAGTAATAAGGTCAATGTCAATTCTTTACGTTAGAGCTAGGAGAATTGGGTAAGAATTTGAATTCAAATGGTTTATCCGAGCACGAATATCGATTGCCATATACGTAATTAAGGATGTTTTTTTTATCTTATGATATGATTTATTGAATACAATGTTTATGTGTCATAAAATTCCCTTCACTCATTCCATTCATCTCATAAAGCCTCATATTTTTGTGCATGTTTTTAAGTTATGTCTTTGCACATCTCATTTAAGTTGTGTTCCTTCTCACAAACCCGATCTCCACTACCATAAATCCATCACACCAAGCACCACTCATTTAAGTTGTGTTCCTTCATACATCTAATAAAATTGCATATTTTTTTGCAAGTTTATAAGATATGTGCCTTCACCCATCTCTTAAAGAAGACACATATTTTTGCACATGTTTTAAAATTGTGTGCCTTCGGGTATCTCATTAAGCCGCATATCTTTACGTATACAAAAAGCCATATTTTTGCATTTTAAACCAAGTTGCATATTTTTGCACATGTTTCTAAGCTCGTGTTTCCACATTTTAAACCAAGCCTTATTTTTTTTATGCATTACGTAAAGTTGTGTTTTCATGTATCCTAAACCATAGTTGCATATTCTTATACATTTATCATGTTTTTTTTCATCTTATTTTCATTTTACGTTAAGTTTAATGCTTATTCATTTCGAGTGAGAAAACGAGGCCTTTGATTGACCTAATTCCCAAATCACTCGATTAATTGATTTTAATATAAAGATATGCACACTTATATAGACATATATTTATAGCATAGTAAGACTAAGCATTAACATTTAACATATATGCAATGTAGTTTACCTCATGTAGGATGTGGCAATGGTGATTTTAATCTTTTCTAGCCATAACTAACCACTAACCTAGAATCCTATATGGACCACTCATTTGAATTTCCTAGTTCCCTAATACTATGTGGTGACTCCTTTCTTATTTCTCTATCTTCCAAAAGTATTCATCGGACCTCCAACGTTGGGTCTACGATAATTATAATAATTAGGAGACCATTCAATAATGTAATTAATAAAAATTCAAGATGAATTCAGTATAAAAAAGACATGACCAAGAAAAGAATAGAAAAAATATGAGGTATTAAAACACATAGTGGTAAGTTGTAAATGTTAGTGTTCATGCTCAAGATCCAACCTTTTTTGGATGGGCTCATGTTAATGTATTATTGCATCATTCATTTTAATAATAATAAAGAAGCCATTCTACTAATTATTATATTTACATGTTGATAAATTCATTCAATAGTGATTGATCGAAAATGTGAGATAAACACTAATGCATATAAATGATATCATTAAATGTCTCAAGTTGTAGCATTGTCAAGAAGGGATATTGATAATATGCGGATAGACTTGTGAGTGCTATGCTCATGTTACATGATAACGGTAGGAGATCTCACACCTATTGGCATGGTGATACCAAAGCAAGCACTTAAGTGATTTATGTTAGAGAACATATAATTGGACTTGACTCACCATGAGAACCTATTTGATTTTTGTCTATGGGAATATCATATGAGATGGGTACAAATGGTCCTTAGATTTGAGTTACCACTCGTTATCTCATTGGAGGACTTATGCACTTTAACACTCATTTCGATGGACCCATTAATGGGTTACAAGTGGACGATTTGTTGGGTGCACTAGGAATCCAATGGATATAGGCTTATGATTAAGATAGGGCATGTCATTTCTTATATGCTAAAGGAGTTATCACATTGCACCTCAATAAATGTCTACTCAAGAAATGCGTGACCACGGTAGGAGTACACCAATAGAGTATAATTGGTTTACTCTAAGAGCTAAGACATTTGGGAATCAAAGAAAACTTGTGTGATCATAATCAAACAAGACTTAAAACCAAGTTTGAGATCACACTTGTGATAAGTTGACATGATGACTGAATTTTATGGTAACCATGCTCGTGAATGGTAATAATAGATTAACTAATTTTTCTAAAGAATTGGGCGAGTCATTGCTAGAAGCCAATCTTGATTTATGTATCGGGAGATAAAAGAGGAGTTTTTTTCTTGATGCATGGCCAACATATCTAGGAGCCTATTGAGTCACATGCATAAGTTTAGGTATTCACATTAAAAATGAGAAGCAAAGATATTAGGCGAGTCATTGCTAGAAGCCAATCTTGATTTATGTATCAAGAGATAAAAAATGAGTTTTTTTTCTTGATACGTGGCCAACATATCTAGGAGCCTATTGAGTCACATGCATAAGTTTAGGTATTCACATTATAAATGAGAAGCAAAGATATTGAAAATTTTTCCAAGTATAGAAGTTTCCTAAAATGAAAAGTTTTCTTAATTAGGAAGTTTCTTAAATAGAAAGTTACATATTTTAGAAATTGATTTTCTAATTTGGAAGTTAGTTTCAAAGTTATAAAAAAAAAAAAAAACCTAAAAGGAAAGAAGTTTCCTATTTTAGGTTAAAGGGTATTTTGAGAAATTGTTTCCTTATGTGGACCCACTTAAAATAATCTACAATTATTTATTTAGATAGTCCAAATAAATTAATTGGGATAAAATGGTTTTGGCTCTTTAAGATTTAATTAAAAGCATTAAGATATTTTTATAGAAGGATAAACATCAACCTTATTAGATAAGGATGAATGTTTTAAAGATAATGATTAAAAGTCCATATGTAAAATAACTCCTCATTCTTGAAGGATAAGGAAACAACAACCATAAGTCCAATTATGACTTATTTACCCCCTCTCCTTGTCCTTGGAGGATAAGAAAACTCCCCTCTTATAAATAGGAGGAGAGATGTGGCATAAAGGATGATGAAGAGCGAGAGAGTATTCGGCTAAAAATAAAGAAAAAGGGAGGAAAGAATAATTTCGACCAGACCTTAAAAATAAAATGGGGCATACGGCGGAAGAGATAAATAAGGAGAAAATAGTTTTCTTCTAAACCCTAGTAAGATATACTCTTTCTTTATTCTTAAGGTTGTCGTAAAATTGCAGGAATTGATTTCTATAGGAAATACTAAATCGGAAAAGGTGGAGCTAGCATCCTATTGATTTTGAGTGTTTCTTTATGGATACTTAGACTGCGTGGATCATTAATAGAGGTCGGATACTTGGACGACTATTCTAAAAAATGAATTTAGATCTGCACTATAGGAGGTAATCTTTTACTTAGAGCTAAATATTCATGCATGTATGGTTAATAGATTCAATAGCTTGATCTTAGGCCCTTAGGTGGAGGAAATTTTTTTGTTTATTTCGTACCTCCATAGGATGCATGATCCTTCAGCAAAGAGATATGGAGCATTGCAAAGGTATATGGAAAAATGCAGACAGCGTAGCCCATCAAAAGCCTACAAACAAAAGTTTAAATAATAGAAAAACACATAATATATATATATATATTAACTTGTAAATTACAAATAGCTCTAGAGTAGTATTCCAAGTTTTGACACAATAGAAACTTATTAGGAAATATCATGTATGTAGTAATTTATAAGTCGTAATCAAGTAGATTGTAATCGAGTAGGTTGATAGATTGATTCTAAGTTTTTACCCAACATCCATAGTTCATGATCACGAAGGATTGATATATCTAGAGTGCCCATTTATAAGCACTTTTTTTCATCTAAGAATAAGAGTTTTTTTTTTATAGGATTTGTTACATTATTAAGCATGCAATCTTGTGTTTTTATCATATGTATGTATTTTAATCATCAATATTTATTTTGAACTTGTTATTTTATTTCAAATTAACTTAAGTTATTTGAATTACTCATTTAAGATTACTATTGTTGTGAATAACTACCCTTAAAAACTTATAACCCAATCGAATTTGATAGATTGAAAATTGATTTCAAATTGCTTAATTTAGTTATTTTATTCAAAAAAAAATTAAAAATTAAAAACACTTTAGAAAAAGTAGTAGCATATGTAGGATCATTAATTAAGTCCTTGCATATTTGAGTGTAGAAGTTGTACTACCTTAAAAACCACTATCCATTTTGTAAAAAGTTTTCTTTATCATGTTTTATCCATTTTGTAGAAATTTTTCTTTATTAACGGTAGCATAAAAAAACTCACAAAACAAATTGGTAACTATAATGGGATTATCAATTTATATTTCCCCATACTATCTTTTGGCAATTGTGCTCGGAAAATAGATTGGCGACCATAATAGGAGTGCTAGGTTGAATGGAATGAAGAAAAAATCAATAAAAGTCTCTTCAACATGGGATGATGCTGGCATATACAATCTCTTTACTATTTCAATAGCTATACAGGAAGAGGGATTAGAATTAATAAGAGAAAAAGTCATGGTTGATGTCCTTGTTCTTCTATCTATAGAAAACGAGAGAAACCTAGTTTTAAGGGTGGCTTTAAGAGGTAGTAAATTGATAGAAATAAATATCTAGGCTTAACTAACATATTGAAGATAAACATTAGCTAAAAATAAAAATGATAGAGAATCATTATAATGAATGGATATTAGCTACTAGTAAAATCACTCATATTTTGAGAGAATTTATCATCGAAACATAAGAAAATACAATCACTAGAATTAGATAGGAACTAGATACCTTGTAAAATTTAGAAAAACAAACCCATATGGGTTCAAACTAAAACTTGATAAATGTAAGTATCTATTCAAAATTAGGATTAAAAAAGTTATAGACATTGTAATGTTAGAAAACGTGTATAAAATCTCCAAACAAGTAGCCTCAAAAGTTAGAAATCAAATGGATGGAAACATTTTAAAGGAATTGGTCAAACAAGGCTTTCCAAAACAATTCTAGCTAGAAAATCTTATGGTGGTTCATATAAAGATATAGATGGCTAGACAATCCACTATTTGAATCTAGACCTCTTGCGTAAAAATCCTAAATGATAGGAGAGACCAGTTATATTGCTAGGAAACCTTTTATAGACCTTCTTGATTCTATAGAGATTAGAAATCATAATTATAGTCCCGTAAATAAGGGAAGGGAAATCACAAAAATAGATGGAGAATAGCCACTAACAACCGGAGGCTAAGTGGTCAACCTATACAATCCTTACAACCCGATCCTAAACACATTTTAGGGGTTGTATAGCATTTTTTAGTCTAAGAATTCAAAAAATCCATAAAATTACTTATAGTCATCCATATCCCGATTACATTGATCGAGAAAACCTATATCCTTCCACATTTAGATTTTTAAAATTTATCTTATTTAGTGAAAAAGGGTCGGTGATTACAATAGAAAATATTTTTAGATTTATATATAAATGTAAAGAATTTGCATATTGTCATTTCTTAAAACTTAGGTTATTCCTTAGTTTCTTAATAGGAGGTATTCTCGGGATATATTAGTCAACCCCCTTACTCCATCCATACTTAGAGAGAAATACAAGCCATTTTAAAAAATAGAGACTGAAATAGGAATGTTAAACCTAGTCAAGTATAAACACCATTTTATCGAGTCTATTAAATAACACTTAGATATGTTTATTGAGGCTAAAGCCAAATGCTAGGTAAAGATTTCTAAAAAAAATAATTTGTTGCAATAGCCTAACAAGGGTTAGAATTTTAATTCAAAAAGAAATTTAAAGGAATGAAATTCAAAGATCAGTATGAACTAGGAGTTATGGTTCCTAGGTATAAAAGTCTATTGAAAGAAAGGAAAGAAAACCTATCATTTATAACACTTCTTATTCGAAACCAATTCGATAAGAAATTAATATAACCGAGTTTATCCATGGAATACTTCTTGTTTGTGTTACCTTTGTTAAAAGGAATATAAAGCCCTTGAAATCATTAAAATCCAATAAAGAAATGCAACATTCCTTTGATATTAATCAAGCTGATCAAATCATTGATTGGTTAATGGCAAACAAGAGAATTAGTTGATACTAGAATAATAGAAAGAGAAGGTATATCACAAATCACATGTTTCCCTTGGTCATGCAACTAAGAACTATATAATTTTTAGGAAGAAATGTGATTTAAGATTTGGTTGAAGCAAAAATTTAAATTTCTAGAAAGTAACTAGACAATGGGCATCCATAAAAACCCATCCTAAATTTTATTTAGCATATCCTTTCTTTAACATGATTTTTCTACTTGAAATATATAATAATGGTCTCGGTGGTGGTTTACTTATTGTGACATTTGGTACTAAAGTTGCTAATGAGTACTTTGACCATTTAGTGTAAAAACAATTCTAGAGGTTTGTAGCGAGTGGATAGTTCATAAGTAAAATAACATATATGTAGATGGTGTATGACAAATAGTCACAATATTAAAGCTTGGTCTACATTTGGAAGATTTATTAGGGGCAACATAAATAAAGGCCAAGTGTTATCTAACAAAGATGAGATGAAAGCTCTAGGTTTTATGGATCCGTATGAAACAATGATGACAAAAATATTTGAAAATCCAAAACTAGTGATCACAAAATAACTACTTAGGGAATATGATTAAAAAGGCCTTAAAAGCAATAATGCTTTTCAACAATCTCAAAACACTAAGAAAGACAATACGTAAGGAGTATGAACCAATTATATCATATGAATTAACCTCTTGGGAAATGAATATTAGCAGAGAAAGTTAAAGGCAAATAAAGGCCATATGGAAATAATAATAGGTCTTTAAATAGAGATATTGTCTTTTCTAGGATGACAATACCTTATTAGGTATTACAAGGTTACGTAATCTCTAAAAAGACTAGTTTTGGTGTCCTCACCGATGAGAAAAAAGGTTGGATCACTATTAGAATCAAATCACAGAACAAAAGAGATTAAAAAAAAAGGCATATAAAGTGTTATCACCCAATTTTTTAACCCTTTTGTTTTATAATATTTTCCTAAAAACTAAACTCGTCAAAATTAAATATGTTTTGCTTTTTGTTTAATGCACTAAATTGTATAATTTTTTTTTACCTTTGTGTTAGAATTTTTTTTAGAAATCCCATAATTTTTATGATTTTATGAGAACTATAAAAAAGAGAGAGAAACAAGAAAAATGGAAGAAAAGAAAGAATGAAAAAACAAAAAAAGGACATAAATTGAAAATTTAGGATTTCTCTAATTTTAAAGATAGGGCACTTATATTTTTTTCCAAGAAGAAAGTCTGGAGAAAAAACACTCTCTTAAAAAATCCTAAGCCTCCATAGCCATCATACCCTTAAAGCTCAAAACCCACAATTATCTCCTTCATCCACCACCTAAAGCACAATCACAAGCCTAAAAAAAATCTATTCTAACAACTAACCACAAGCTCAAAAACTCCTCCAAGTCATGGCCATAAGTAAGAAATTCTCTCTAAGTCGTAGCCCATAAGAAAGAAACCATCTCTAAAACACAACTATAAGTAAGAGAAAACACAACCACATGTTTAAGAAGAACCCTCTAGCTTTGAGCTAAAAACCCTAAAGAGACTTAGAACAAAAGCCCGACCATCCTCCTTTCTTGCGACCACTACTACTCGTTGCCACTATCCAGCTATAATTTATTATTTTAGAACACTTTTGTTAGGCCATCCTTTATTTGGCTAACCCTTTTCGTCGTCGAGACTTCATCAGCCGGACTCACTCTTGGCCAAGCCTATTTCTATTAGCTAGATCATTTTCTCTACCTCACGACAATGACAATAGCCTTCTAGCTCATGCTAGTAGTACTAGTACCTTCCCTAACTTGCAACAATTTCCTCCTACCTATGGTAATGATTGCGGCTCCATCTAATTAAAAATAATAACAAAAGCATCCCTATTCAACTATAGTAATTTCCCACAATTGCTATTAACATTAGCTCCTCTATGATATTCCATTTTCCAACACCCATAGACAACAATCACTTAGGTTTTTTTTAGCCCTAAAAGATAGCCATGCAATTCCCCTATTTTGGCTAAATTTTCCCATCGATTAACAACATTGATTGTCTTCATCAAAAATTGAAGAAAGTGATGCAAACAAGTAAATTAAGAGGGAAATCATTACTTGAAGTTCAAACCTTCTCTCTTTTCGATTGATAACACTACTTATCTCTATTGAAGTATTAAAGAGGAGGTAGATTCATCTTTTGTATAAAAAGACACTTTGTTATCGCATCTATATTTTTGATAAATTCAAATGCGTTTAGATTAATATTATGAATGATATGATATTTATGAAATATATATGAGATTTAAAGTGTAATTGAGATACATCGCTATGTATCAAACCCGAAAGTGTAAGAGATCCTAGGTATTTTTGAGTCGAAATTAAAGAATCATGCATTATATGGAGATGCAGAAGAAAACAAAAAATTTTCCTCCTCCTAAGATTCCCAAGATCATGTCTTTGAATAAACTAATCATACATTAGGTTGAATATAAATATGGATGAAAGATTACCTCTTGTAGCGTAGAAAAAAAATTAAATAAAAAAGAAACTATCCAAATGTTCGACCTCTATTGATAATCTATACATCTTAAATACCAATAAAGGAAGTTGTAGAGTTGATAGGTCTAATCATTTTGTATAGTTAATTTACTTTCTAAAAAAATCGAGTTAGGGTTTTTGTGACAAGTCAAGCTTTTAAGGAGGGATGCGACAACTCAAGCTTTTTAGAGAGTGAAATTTCTCTTTATTTTTGGTTATTACCGTGTGTGTGTATGACTTGCTTGATGTTTTGCTACCACTCTCCCTTTATTTATGTAAAGGGCGTTATCCTTGTCATCCAAGGACTAGGAGTTGCAACATATTTAAGCTTGTTTGATCTTATCCTTGTAAACCCTCGGTCTTATCCAATAGGACTCAACTTTATGCTTCCACTAAAATATTTTATAGTCTTTTAAATTAAGTCTAGTCGCTCAAATCTTTTGGCCCAATTAACTATCAATTAAATTGGACCATCCAAATAAATTGAATCAATTATTTTAGTGGAGCTCACATTAGGAAATAAATTTTCAAATTACCCTAAAACCTAAATTACGAAACTAATTTTCTTTTTAGGTAACTAACTTCCAAATTTGGAATTAACTTTCAATTTAGGAAATTGATTCCTAAAATAGGAAAATTTTCATTTTAGGAAATTTTTTCTAAACATGAAACTGTTTCTAAAACAAGAAATTTTCCATTTTCAAAAATCTTTTCCGATAGGAAATTATCAAAACTAGAGACGTATTCCAAAATCTTTTCTTCTCTTTTATTATATGAATGGTTAAACTTGTGCATGTGGCTTAATAGGCTCTAAGATATGTTGGCAATGTATTAAGAATAAAAGACACCTCTTTTATCTCTTGATACGTAAATCAAGATTGGCCTTTAGTAAGGCATTATCACTACTCAATTCTCTAGAAGGGTTAATTAATTTACAATTATCTTTCATAAGCATTGTTACCAAATAATTCAGTTCTTATGTCGGTTTATCACGGTGGGATCTTAAACTTATTTTATAGTCTATACGATTATAATCACATAATTTTTTTTGACTCCCAAATGTTATAGCTTTAAAGTAATCAACTATTCTCTATTGGTATATTTTCACTATGCCCATAGATTTCTTGAGTAAATATTCATTGAAGTATAATGTGATAACTCCTTTAGCATATAAAGAATGACATGTCCTTTTTTATTCATTTACCTATCTTCATTAGGTTCCTAGTGCACCTAAAATGCCCACATGTAGCCTTGGTTGAGCTCATCAAAATGAGTGTGAAAGTATATAAATTCTCTATTGGTTTCATGTAAAGTTTGTGTTTTTATGGTTATGCTCTTATGATTAATTTATTTCGCAATCTTAATTATTGTGAGTGTTTGGTTTGATAATTTTCTCATGAAACCTAATTTATACATAGTAGGATTAAATTTCCACTAGCAATATCAAAACATTGGTTGGAACATTTGTTTAAATTGGAGGGAGTTAGGAATTATCAACAAACTAACAATTTTTAGAAGATCGAGGAAGGAGGATTATTTTACTATGATGGTTTTTAATTATCCATTTGAAGATTAAGGATGGAGGATGGAGGATTATTTTACTAGGATGTGTTTAATCCAATTGAATTGGGTCAAGCTATACTAGAAAGGAAAATTGCTGATGTTTGGGAAAAAGATTATAGAAAAGCTATTATAACTATTAGATAGTGGATGGAAAGTAGTGTGTTTCATTACATATCTAAAGAGAGAAATATCTAAGAAACATGGGAAAAATTACATAGTGTGTATGAAAGAATTTAAAATTCGACAAAATAAAGATTTTTTTTATTACAAAGCTTGTGAATCTAAAATGTAAAGATTAAAGTTTTGTTGGTAAACACTTCGGTGACTTTCAAATTTTGATTAATCGGTTGATAAGTATAAAAAGCGATAATAAATGATAAGTTACAAACATTATTGCTTCACAATTGAGAGACTTTAGTTATGACCCTTGATAATTCTACTTCGAATAATAATTTTTTGTTATTTGTTGGTAAAGATAGCTTTTTTAATGAACAAACAAGATGAAGTAAAGGTAACATGTTGAAGCATAAGATCTTGTCATAGAGAATAGCAAAAGGAGTAGGAATAGAGAATTTAATGACATGGTAAATTTAAAGGTAGATCATAGTCTAGTGGTAGCTTTAAATGTTATCAATATGGAAGATAAGATCACATTAAGAAAAATTAAAAGGCATGAAAGAAAGAACCGGAGGAACTAAATAAGTAAAAAGAAGATAATGAGAACACCACTTGTATATTAAGTTCGGATTGGAATGTGAGAGTGCTCTCATATGTAGAGAATAAGTGTAATATTATAGATCCTTGTCTTAAATAAATTACTAACTTAATAGTTGTATATTATGATATTTCTAAAAAGAAATTATTTATCCTATATAAAACAAGAGACTTTGGTACTGAAAAAAGTGAAAAATAATAGTTATATTAGTATTGTGACGAGTTGGCGATGTGTGTATAAATATATGTATAGATTGTATATTTACTTTGAAGGATGCATGATGCATGTACTGAATTTATACTTAAATATAATTTTCTACTTTGCCCTGGACATTGTTGAATATTAAAATCAATTTATAATGGAATATGGAAACTCACCAAGAGATCATTCATTGTTGTTAGAAGTAATATTTGCAATAAAGTTTACTAGACAAAAGTATAGTTGATAGACTTGATAAGTATAGTTAGATATAAAATTTTTCAAAAGTTTTTGTCTAGAAGCTCAAGTGAAAGAAATGGAATTGATAAAAAAAAAAATCTCGTGTTACTTTTGCCAAGAAGATTGCAATATATGAAAATGTATTGAATGAAGAATATGAAATTGAAATTTAGCCAACAATAAGTAATGGTGATGATATGAACAAAGGGAGTTCTAAGTAGAGAGTAGGATCCTCTAGTTTAGAATGTAGAGTCTTGGGTGAGTATGTCTATTGGTTGGTGTCATTCTTTTACCTAGAATTTTAGTTCTAATAATGTCCTATTGATGGATGAGAAGGAGTTAAATAGTCTTTTTAATATTCAAACTTATAACAAGAGTTAGTAATAAATTTTAATGATGATGATACCGAGAATGATTCTTCAAAATAAGGATTCTACTAATATTTATTGATAGCGAGAAGAATGGATTCGAGCTAGTGTAGTTGGCACGAACTCTAGATGATGAGTTGAGATTTTTTTCTCTTAAGGGCTAGAAGGTAGATTTGTTGGGTGTATATTAAGATCCGGCTCATGAGTGACCCTAGCATAACCCATTCAGAAATTAAATGCGAAAAGATTAAATAAAAAAAATATATACGAAAAGGACTAGAATTAATAAAGGAGATAAATTGAAAGACTAAAGGCTAACTTTGGCTTGAAAAGAGGAAAGATTTTTTTTCCCTCGTTTTGATTCAAACCAAGCCGAGACATTATACAAAAGAATTTTTTTTTCTTTTGGTGTGATTCACAGTGTGTAGAGTTAAAAAATAAAAAATAAAGCATTTTCTTGCTTTCGGTTTTACAAGATTGAAATATTGCAAACGGGTAGGAAAGCAAGAAATAAATATTCAAATTTTCTTTAACATTGATTTTTAAGTACATCAATGCTATAAATTATAGTGTTTAGGATGTTGATCTCATATAGTATTGGACTTTGCATAAGCACATATATTTTAAATATTCTATATTTTTATGCTGAGATGGATTTAGTAGTTAACTTGTATTATAGTCAATAGTTTTGTTTTTCAAATTCATCCAAAAGTTTAAGTGATTGTATTGATTTTTTTTATTATTATGGGGGATTATTTTGGAGTTGGTTTAGTGGTTTTTCCCACTAGAATAAAGAGAGTTTTCTATATAAATTTGATATTTTTGTAGTTGGGCTCTTATAATTGATTTATTTTATGCTCTTAACTATTGTATGTGTTTAATTTGATTTTTTTTTAAAAAAAATCAAATTAATAATTTACAAGAAGTAAAATTAAATTTCCAACACATATTTACTTAGTTCGGTCTAGAAGAATGGAAACAAAATCATAAATTTAAGCTTCATTTTTGTTGACCATTAGATTATTTCAAGATAAGTGAAACTAGTTGAAGAAGGAAAAATGTCAATACACAAATAAATAAATTAAAACCGAAAATGACTG